AAATAATGTGGCAAAAACACCTGTCACCCCATCCCCAATGTCCACCTCAGAGTAGGGATCTACAATGGGGTAGAGAGCATCAATCCCACCCCAAGGACACCCATATGTAACCAGGAGGCAAGTCTGTTGGTCTCAGATTCACTGATGTCATGAATGTCATGTATGTCAAAATCTCTAATTTCTCCCATAAAATGTCAAAGTCATATCCTTTATTTTCAATCATAATAGACTTAAAATTGAAATGTAATTATGAATAATGAAATGTATTTGGCATTTGTTTGAAATCTAAAAGGCAGCTTCCTTGGCTCTCAGCTGGCTTCTTGAGTGTGCCAACCCAGTGTGGTTCAGTGGATCCTGGGCCCTGTTCTGATCATTGGTATTACAACCTCCCAGGAGCCTACAAAGGGCAGATTATCTGGCCTCTGCCCACAATCACTGAATCAGAAATCTGTGTGTGTGTGTGTGTGTGTGTGTACACACATGCACACATTAGGAGGAGGGGGAAGGGTATGATGATCAGTGTGTTCAAGCTCCCTGGGGAATTCTTATGTACATGAAACCACTGACTGGAGCTGGGAGGAGGAGCCAATATTTGGATCAAAGCATATCCCCATTCCCGACTGCCCAGGAAACCCTCCATTACATATGGAACTATTCTCTCTGTGCTCCCGGAAACACGTGCATTGTTTTTACTGTTGTAATCTTCCTTTATAACAATGGCTTTTCAGGGATAGCAGAAACAGCCTTAGAAGTTAGCATAATACTAAAAGGCTTTAAAACTATTTTTCCTGATTGCTTGTCAAAGCTTGAAACAATCATTAATTAATTGAGCTGAAAGAGAAAACTGCCTGTTACTGGAGTGCGTTTAGGGAAGGGGATGAGGTCAGGCATATCAGTCGCCCACAGAAACAGAAAGCAGGGATTTTACATTCTGGCCGAGCCATTCTTGGAAGTTGGGTCAAAGCAGCTTTCCAAAATATCCCGTCTGTGGAGGAGCAGACCTGCGCTTAAACGGCTAAAACATGAGGCAGGTGATGCAAAGTGCAGAGACACAGCCCAGGCAATACACAGGCTGGTGCGGTCAGGGAGGGCTCTATGGAGGAGCAGCTTCCCCGGCCATGTGGCCTAGGGCAGTGGGTGCTCCTGGCAGAGCCTGACTCCACTGCCTTGATGTTTCCAGATAATACAGCCAACATCACGGTCAAGTACAGGCAATTTGACCGGGAGCGTGCCAAGGTCCACTTCCTGCCAGTGCTCATCTCGGACAATGGGAAGCCGAGCCTCACGGGCACCAGCACGCTGGCCGTGGCCGTGTGCAAATGCAACGAACACGGGGAGTTCACCTTCTGTGAGGACATGGCCGCCCAGGCAGGCGTCAGCATCCAGACGCTGGTGGCCATCTTCCTCTGCATCCTCGCCATCACAGGTCAGTGCTGGACAGGGTGGGGTCGAGAGGCTGGAGGGGCTTCACAGGAGGAGGAGAGGACAGGAATTCAGGCCCAGCCCCTCCTCCAACCTGCAAGGCAGCACTGGCTTGTGCACCATCCTGGGCTTCAGGGTCCACGGGTGTGACACAAAGATGAGGGCTACACCGAACTGGGCATCTGGGTTGCGTGGTGTTAGGACCCCTCTGCACTCATTGGGGAGAGGCCATCTCCACTTTAAAATATCTTCCTTAGCTTCCTTATCCATAACAGTTGCTCCTGCAACTTACATATTTTGAGCACTTACTGTGTGCTAGGCACTGTTCAGGCATGTATTTACACAACACTTAATTTTGAAAAAAAATCCAGTTCTAAAGTGGAAAATTTAACAATGTCTAGTTGAGACTGTGTCCTGGGTGCTTTCTGTGTTTGATAGAATTCCTCCAGCCTTGATATCTCTCTTTTTTTTTTCCCCCTTATTTGGGCCTCAGATATTTAGTAGCATTTTAGGCCTTCCCTTAGTTTGGATTTCACAGGAAGCAGGTCCTGGGAAAAGTTTTGGGTGCAAGTAGTTTATTTGGGAGGTGCTCCCCGGAAACCTCCTAAGGAAAAGGGGAGAGAAGCAGGGAGGGGAGGCAGCTAGTGAAGGGCAAGGAATCAAGGAAGTGACCACCATGGACAAGTAGCTTCACCCGCTGGGAACCTGGAGGCAGCCGGGGCTA